AATTGAATAAATTGAATAAATTGAAGGAATTGAAGAAATTGAAGAAATTGAAGAAATTGAAAAATGTATCCAATGTCGAAACGATTATTTCAGTTCCGCGATGCCTCGAAATTCGCCACCGGGCGTGGTTCAATCAGAATCGAGAGCGCAAGAAACTCTCTGGCGTCCAAGAATCGTTGACTCAGACAGACGATTTTCGCGGACATAGCATTGTTTCCTGGTGTTCGGTTACGCGCTCGCTTATGCAAACAATCTGTCGCGTTATTATCGCGGCCATTCGTGCACGTGATAAAAGTTCAAGGTGCCGGATCGCCGATGCCGCGGCCGCGTCTGCACGAACGCTCGATGTGCCAACGCATCGAGTTCATTTCGAAAGTGGCATGAGCACGTCTTCGTTTATTTCGGGACAAAGACGTTCAGCGAAAAACAAATTGTATTATTCCAGGATGTTATCAATTCTTCTTCGTTGTTTGTATTATATATTAGGGTATCTGCAAGTTCCATTTTCTTAATTTGCATAAGTTTCCTTTTCTTTTATATTCCTGTATTATAAATTGCAATATATTGCAATTTTCTTTAGTTTAAATTGCATCGTTGAAATATATTGCAACTTTCTATATCTTAAATTGTATTATTTTAATGTATCGTAGCTTTTCCTTCTTCTTAATTTCCAATATTATTTATTTATTATTTATTATTTATTAATTTATATTATATTATTCATTACCAATATTATTTTAGTATAATATAATTAATTTCCAAGACCTTATAATAATATTCTTCTTTTGTGATTGCAATACCTCAAGGTATTGCAATTTTCTTCAATTTATATTGCAATATTCCAGTATACTGCAATTTTCTTCATTTTATACTGCAATATTCTAATATATTGCAATTTTCTTCATTTTATTTCATATTGTAATTTCCTTTATTTTATATTGCAATATTTTAATGTATTGCAATTTTCTCCATTTTATACTGCAATTTTCTAATATATTGCAATTTTCTTCATTTTATATTGCAATATTTCAATGTATTGCAATTTTCTCCATTTTATATTGCAATATTTCAATGTATTGCA